CGCACCCGGCGTGAGTTTTAAGCCACCGGGTCCAGGACGAAAACCGCGGTGGACTATGTGGGAGTCCAGCGACATAGCCATTACGCTAACTGCTGGTTCCCTGGAATTGTCCTTTCCTGGTCCTTCTGACTAACCGCTCCCCAGTCTCCGAAGGCACTCATGTTAGTACCGATGTGGCTGGGGTTGCTGCACCCATGTTGGCCCCAGTGAGTACCAGTCCCAGAGAACTCCCAGGATAGCAGTGCTGTAGCTGGGGGCGTGAGTGGCCAACACTGCAGGGACAGCTCCTGGGCCTCTTGTGCAGGCTGCTGGGGAACTGAGGGCCCGACTTCTCAGAAAGACACATGCAGGTGCTTTCATACACACACACCCACGCTCATGTGTGTAAGCAGAGTGTACAAACACACTCATACCCGTCTGCATGGGCATATGTGAACATTCAATGTGTGCACATGCACAGCTTCACCTAGTGCAAGTGAGCTGTTATTTGCTTTTCTCTGCTTAAAGGCAGCAGCTAAAATTGACTGTCTCTGGGCCACATGACTTTGTGCGGGACTGTTTCAAATGGAATTTCCTGCTTATTCTTTGGCCTTCTTAAATATGTAATTCTGAATTGAATATAGATTTCTCCATTCCTCTTCATTGACTTTCAAAGGCTTTTTTTTTCTTTTTATATGAAATATTTAGCCTTCTTCAAAGAGGCTGGGATTTCTCCTAGGGTAGAGACTGGTTGATGAGCACAGAATACCAGACCCTCTCCCCCTGTCCTGTTTGGAGATTAAATGTCACAGGCCTCTGTATTCACTTCCCTCCTGGTGCACTCTGTGGGTACAGGGCAGCTCTGCTTGATGCATCCTTTGTCCCATGCCCAGGGCTTAGACCAAAACCCAAACACAGTGCACCCCAGCTAGAGGTGACCCCCCCCCCTCCAGGGCAATGTTTAGCATGCAGATGACCCAGAGGGGATGCTGGAATCAAAGTGCACTTTCCCTCTGTCACTCAGGAAGTGTGCTTGATGCAGAGTCCCCGGTGAAGTCCATGGAGGAAGTGTCCAAACACAGCTCTATTTATATGTGTCTTTTAACAACTTCCTTTGGCTCTAAAGCTAACGGGCAGTCTGGCCAGATTCATGGCAGCCTTGACAGAGCATAGCAAGGCAGCTCCGAGCTAGGAGCAAAACCCTTAGCAACCCGCTCAGCTCCTCCTGCTGCCAAGGCCCCTGCCCCCAACACCAGCATTTCTCTTTTAGTAAATCACTCTGGAAGCCTTTCCTTTAGAGACCTGAAGTCCAAGAGGAAGGTTCTGGACAGCCAGGGCGTTCAGATGATGCTAACCCTGCAACCCAGTATCTCTGAGGGTCTGTGCCTGCTCAGAGGAAAACGGCAGTCATGTCTGCCAAGGGCCCTAGCATTCCCCGTGGGCCCGGAGCCTCTACTTTAGTGCTGGATATATGCCCACTTGTATTTAAAGTCTGAGGGCAGATGTATGGGCCTCAAAATGGATGGAATTAGCCTGCAGTCTCTTCTCCGGAGTCCTCCTGCCAGAGTCTGCACAGGTCTCAGAGTCAGGCATGGGCCCCAGGTCTCGGCTCCTGGTAGTGCTTCTTCCTCTGGGCCGGGGTGAAGGTGGGCTGGAATGGGTCAGTGCATTGAGCTGTGGAATCTTCTGAAAGGCAGCCTGGTGTCCTGGAGGAGCCCCGGTGGCTGGCGCCAATTCCGCCCCTGCTCCTTTGATCTCCAGGCCTCCTCCTCCCCCTACATCCTCTTCCAGCTCTTTAACTCCATGACATGTTTTCTCTTCCATTGATTAATGCATCGCTTTTGCCATCTTGGTACTCACTATCAATTTTCTTGGCAAACTGTCTTCATAAACTTAATTGCCATCAATTCTGAATCTCAGGAATACAAATTAGCATTGTTTTGCTTTGTCATCCAGAAAGCTTAATTTTAACATCACCCCAATAAATGGCTAGGAAGCTGATCTCTGTGAACTCCAGCATCAATACAGTCCAAATAGGACGCACCCACCAAACCAGGCAGTAGGTGAAAACGGCCCCTTGCACTGGGAAGTTAAAGAAATGATAGGTTTGTTGCAAAGTCGTTCAGCAGCAAAACATGATCTGAGTAAACATTTGCTACCAGGAGGAAGAGAGTACTGTAAGCTAGGAACCCCGCTACTCACATGGAGAAGGCTCATGACTTACTGAGGAGTGAGAATAGCAAGTTAGAAGACAAAATAACACGCTTCCAATTTTGTCTTTTAAAATTAAAGGTAGATGGATGGATAGACCGGCCCAGGCCGGGGAGGGGGTGGTATGTGGAATGCCCAGGAAGACACGCACCAGTACATGTACAGTCGTCCCTGGGTATCACGGGAGATTGGTTCCTGGACATCCCCAGGATACCAAGATCCACGACGATCAAGTCCCTTCTATAAATGGCATGTGATTTGCATATAACCTATGCACATCCTCCAAGATACTATAAATTATCACTAGATTATGCTCAGTACCTAATTCAACATAAATACTATGTAAATTGTTACATATTGTTATGTATTGTTCAGAGATTACTAACAAGCAAAAAAAAAGACATGGATGTGTTCAGTAGAGAAGCAAACTTTTTTTTTGTCATGTGCATTGACTGCACAGAGGAAAAACTCGTGAACATAAGGGCCAACCCTCATCTTAAATGGGTTGCTTTCTGGGCCTATAGGGTCATAGATAAATTTTTAAATATTCTTCTTTGACATGTTCTGTATTTCCTACATTTGCTACAATGCTCCTATGTTCTTTTGTATTCAGATGAGTGGTATTTAAAGCCTAATAAATGTAACCATGGCCCTTGAGTGGAGGACGTGGCCACCCTGTTGGGACTACACAGCATACCCACCTCTTCCTAGATCTATTCACTTTCTACATTTCCAGATCCATTGACTTTCAGATGTCAACACGACTGAGCTCCTGCTTCCCACTGATGTTGAAGCTATCATCTGCTCTTATCAGGGTCCTAGTGGCCAAGCCACAATCACAGGGGCTGGGGCCCTGCCGTTTGGAGAGGACTAAGAGTGTTTCCTGGTCCCTGTACAAACCTAAAGGCTTAGGTGTCTGTTATGGGAAGATAAGCCGAGCAACTCTTATGAGGGGTTCGTAGTACAAGAAATGCCACCCTGCTCCAGAGCAGGGTGTGGGCTCCTACTGGGTGAACAAAATGAGACCTCAGGTGTCTCCCCAGCAGCCAGACACCCGGACTGGGCCACCCACAGTGCACTGCACCGATTCCAGCTGTTGTGGATGGCTTCTGTGAAGCTATCCAGGTTCTTGGTGTTTCAAAGAACTGAACAAAACAAGCCAATCATGAAAGGAAAGGGTAATTTATTAAGTGAAAGTGAAAGTACACTCCCAAGAGGTAGGAGCGGGCCTAAGCAGACAGAAAGAGTGGCTCAAAAGACCCTGGCAGTTGCATTCTGAGAGATTTATAATTTTTTAATCTAGGTCATGTGGGTTGATCACTGGCTGGGCCAGCTGATTGCTCTCTTCTCACTGGCTATGTCAGATGTAGCTGGGCCCACTGAATTGTCTCATTGGCTGCATCAAATGTGCTTACTCAGCCAGACTTCTCTCGCTGACTTCCGGCCTACATGACCTTGCCCTGATCAGGTTTTTCTCTGGCACATGGGCAGACGCTCCAGCCCCCTTACCCACGTCCATTTGCTAGCTTTCTCCTGCCTCCCAACTATAAGCACTTCCGGCCCCAGTTCCTGTCCTCCTGTCTTCCTGCTGTCAGATTAGTAAATGGTGGAGAACATTCTATGTACAGAAACAAGTCCCCAGGACAAAACGCGAATATCTGACCCTCTGGATTCCTCGTCCTTCTGGGCAGAAAAAAGCAATGTGTTGCAGAAGCCACGCCCTGCTTACCCACCTCCCTCCTTTGCCCCCCCAAATGTGTGGAATACCCACCTGGGCCTGATGCCAGCCAGGTTGCCCTGGGGTTCTACCCTGGAAGAGCTTCTCTTAGGAGCTGCAGTACTTCTTTGGGGTGGGAGGGGGTTTTAGAAACCAGCGGAAGTCTCTATGCATTGCTGTATTTTTCCTTTAGAAATCATTCACATTTTATTTTTAGCAGTTATTCAGAGCCAAGCCTGACAGAAAGGGTACTGCAGTGACATCGTGGGTAGTGTCCTTTTGCATAAAAATCGAGATGTGATTACAAAGTAACAAAACTAATCTTTTTTATTTCTTATGAACTGACTGATCTAAAAGCCTTTGCCAAACTGCTTGCTTCAAGGCAGCCTTTCTGGCGAAACATCAGCTGCCAGGAGCAAATGTCTTCAAGTTTAACCCTTGCTCAGAGGCAGGAGCACCTATCCTTGTGTTTGTTAATGAAAACAGCTTCCCGCCCACTGAGGCGTGCACTTCCACAGGGGGACCCCGGGAGTGCCACCAAGCCCAGGTTCTGCTGATCTTTAACTTTGCTCTTTATTTCTCATCTGTTTTTAGTCAACAGTTTCTCCAGGTTAACTACTCTGGGGGACCTTAAAATGAAAAGCTTTTATCTTAATGAGATTTTAATCCTTGCTGAGAAAGCTTGTAGTTTTGCAGGCTGTAACTTTAGCTGCACCGTAATGCACCAAGGCCTCATTTTCCCTTTCCTTCTTTTTTTTTAAGAGGGAGATGAGGATAAAGGACTTCTTTGTCCCGCGTCCTCTGCTTGCCTTAGGGGTATAGAGAGAAAGCGGTGGTAGGTGCAGGGAGAGTAAACCTTCAGGGAGCAGGTGGATGCCATGGTTCAGGCCCAGCATGGGACATGCCAGCCGCTTGGAGTCGTTGTGAAGGAGCTGAGTGGGAAGTTGGGGGGAGAAGCCTGAACACCCGCAGCCTGGGCCAGAGTGGGAACCTCTCTGCATTGAGCCATCTCCCCGAGAGCCCCTAGTTACCAGCCCCGCAGATCTCCTGAATTTATCCGTGGTAACTCCTTGCTCGTTCTCTTTGTCCCCAGTGGAAGGACTGAAGGTGGTGGAGATCGAGAAATGCAAGAGTGACATTAAAAAGATGAGGGAGGAACTGGCAGCCAGAAGCAACAGGTAAGGTCTGCAGTGGGAAAGCCTGCCAGCAGCCTGGCCTAGGCAGGGGGGAGAGGGAGGGCTTTGTGTCGAAATGGGGTGGAGGGGCTGTGTGCTTTGTTTCCCCCGAAGAAAGGCTGGTGTGACTGGAGCATACTCCGGCTTGAGCCAGCATGTTTGCAGGATCCTCTCTGCTAAGATCTGCTTTTCGACGGCGTGGCATGGCTTTCGTACAATCCGAGAGTCACGTGGCAGAGGGCAGCTAGGAAGGCAGCTTCGTACAATAGCGACTAATCCTCCAGTGCTCCAAGTCTTAGTAGTGACTTATCCAGCTTGAAAGAAGTCGACATCAATTTTAAAGAAAGAGAACAATAAGAGGAAAAGATTTTTGGCTTACAAGTGATGAGCGTCCCTGTGCCGCAGCAGCCCCGCTGCCTCCGTCATGTCCACACAGCACGATGCAGGAGCGCTCTGGCCATCGTGGATACAGACATTACACGCTCTTCAGGACAAGGGTCACCTGCTGGTGCTCCTCAGGGAGGTGGGCAGCCATTCGTAATTGCTGCACACATGCCCCAGCCTTGATTAGCCTCCTTCAAAAGTACAGCAGGACCCTCTGCCGAAACCAGGGTCACAGCCAGTGTGAGTCAACTGCGTTCAAACAAAGGAGATGCACAGTGCAGTCGTCCCCCCTAACCGCAGTTTCACTTTCCCTGGTTCGTTACCCATGGTAACCGAGGTCCAAAAATATTAAATGGAAAATCGCAGAAATAAACAATACATGAGTTTCAAAGTCCTCGCCATTCGGAGTGGCGTGGTGAAATCTCATGCTGCCCTACGCCCTCCTGCCTAGACGTGGGTCGTCCCTCTTACCCTACCCACGCTGTGTGCGCTCCCCGCCGTTAGGAACTTCGGAGCTGTCCAGGATATCAGATGGTATGACTCGGCAGAGCTGTGTTTAAGGAAACTTAGTTTACTTAGTATGGCCCCAGAGCATGAGAGAAGTGAGGCTGGCAACTTGATATGCTAATGAGAAGCCATAAAGTGCTCCCTGTAAGTGAAAGGGGAACGAAAGTCCTTGATGTGATACGAGAAGAAGAAGAAAATCGTATGCTGAGGTTTCTAAGAGCTCTAGTAAGAACAAATCTTCCACCTGCAAAATTGTGAAAAGGGAAAAAGAAATTTATTCTAGTTTTAATACTGCATCTCACTTTATACAGGGGTATAAGAAATCATAAGAAATACAGTGTGTATGGGATTCGGTACTATCCCTGGCCTCAGGCATCCACAGGTGTTCTGGAAAGTATCCCCATGGGTAGGGGGAGCTCTGCACTAACACAGGTGACAAACATGGGTCGATAAAGACGGCACGTACTGAGTACTTACTGTGAACGGCTGCGGTCCTCTGACCACTCCCAGCACCCACTCACACATCCCAGTCACCCACCCAGAAGACCACATGTAATTGCGTGGCTCATCACCCCCTCTAACTCCTTGCTACTGAATAACCACTGAAGCTACCGATGGGTCTCAAGACGTAAGGACAGCCCTGTGCAAATGCAGAGTTGTCCTGGGGCCACCTAGCATATTAAAGACCAGTCCCTTATTTAAAAAGCTGAGAGTAACCTGCTGAGAGGGGGAGTATGGCAATGTGACAGGGCCTGGTCCATTGCAGCCGGTGGTCCTGGTATCTCAGGGGGGGGCACAGAGAAGAAGGCAGAGCAGGCGTAGCCCTTGTCAGAGCCACAGGGACCATGCCCTGTTCACGACACACATACTTGTCAGGTAAAGAGGAGTTGGGGAAAGTCAGGGAAAAGGAATTCACACTTCTGGAGAATCAGTGATGTTCACCTTTAGCCTCCTGCATCCTGGGGAGGCTCGTTAAGGGACCAGAGAGTCCTCTGCATGTCGCCTTAGGGGAGAGGACACTACTGAGGACTACCAAGCACCACCTCACCCGCCAGCATGTGCCACCAACACTTGCAAGAAATGTTTCCAGATTGCAGCCTCACTGCCCTCCTCAAACAACCCCCCTGCCAGCCACAGCAGTCATGGAATAGCCGTGGGACAGCCTCTGACCTCCCTGGTCTTGCCCTTGCCATGGCTAAGGGACCCTTGCTAAGACCCCCACCCCTGCACCCAAAGGCTCTTCCACCACCCCCCCACCCCAACTTCTGTAGAAAACCAGGTGAGAGCAGGAACCACTACCCCTCCTTTTGTGGTTTCTAGTGCTGCTGGTCCTGCAGGTCGGTGCAAGGGAAAAGCAAAGAAGTTTTGTTACGATTGTAATCTTTTCTACGATACAAATTACCACAAACTGGATGCTTAAAACAACAGAAATGTATTGTCTCATAGTTCTCTGGAGCCCAAGTTCAAAATCACTGCTGTTGGCAGGCCGCGCTTCCTTGGAAGGCTCCAGGTGGCTCCTTCTGGGTCTGCCTTTTGGCTTCTGGTGGTTGCCCTGGGCAGCCTTCAGCCTCCTTCAGCCTGCTGAGCTCTGTCACGTTCACGTGGTGTCCTCCGCACGCGCTGTGTCCAGAGTCCTCTTACTGTACGGTCGCTCATGTTAGATCAGAGCCCACCCTACTCAGACATCCCGACTACATCACAGCCGCCCTCCCTCCACGGCATCAAGGTCAGACCTCCACGTGTGGCTCTGAGGGACACAGTCCCACCCCGTGGGGAAGATACACCAATTTCAGAACCCGGAGCGGAGAGACGAGGCTTCAGAAGGCACTGGCTGGGGCAAAGCTGGATTCTAAGGGCTCTGAGCTTCGAGTGCTCCTCCCCACTCCCTCAAAAAGTGCATCTTTAGAGCTCACAGTGCCATAAGCCAAAAAGAAGGAGACTTCAGTGAGTCATGAGGCTTCTCAGGTGACAGTCCCGCAGATGTTCCACAGCGTCCCTCGGAGGTGAGAGACAGTAAATAGAACTCTTCAATCCAAGAGAACAGGGTAAAAATCTCGAGCATTGCTTACACGTTTATAACCCGAACGTGGGGGGCAGCAGGTGGCATAGTGATTAAGGATCTGGACTCCCACGTGGCCAACTACAGTTCGAGTCCCAGATCCAGTGGCTTAAAATTCACACTGGGCATATGTGCATATGTGCCCAAGATCCTGAGGGAAGAATGGAGGAGAGGGGATTGCGGCATGGCCATCTCCCCTGGGGGCTGATTTCTCACTTTCTATCTCTCTGTCTCTCCAGCGAACGCACAAGCCCTATAGCAGAAATCCCTAAAAAAAAAAAAAAGAAAAGAAAAAGGAAGAAAGAAAATGGGGTGTCCTGGGCTCTGGTCCAGCCCACAGCCACATCCTCCACCCAGGCCCTAGTCTAGGAGCCCAGTGGTCCCTGGTGTCTCCCCACAAACCCCTTTCTTTCTGTGGAAGCTCAGAATAGACAGCGTAGCCCTTGGCGTCACTGTCGTGTTGGCTGGCTGTAGGGCTCTGTTTACTCTGCGAGCGCTGCGCCGTGATCGGAGTCCTGGGTAAAGCTCAACATGGCTTCCCCAGACTGCTGCCCTTCCCAGCATGTCAGCCCAGCGAGGGCGCCCTCGCCTCTCCAGGGGGCAGAGAGAACAAAGGCTCCAGGTGGGTTGAGACCACACGATGCTGACCCTCACACAGGCACACCCAGTAGGGCCTTGGGGCAGGAATGGCAAACGGCCAGAGCCCACCTCTGAGGACAGCATCGGGCTTGTGCTGGAGCCCTCACTCCTCCCCGCAGGCTGCCATCTCCCTGTTTGAGACTCACAATGTAGTGATGGAGGTTTCACGTGGTTTTCCCCAAGAGGCAAGAGCAGGCTGCCAGCTCCTATTTGGGTGCAGGTCTCACCGGGGGCTTTGTTACTCTGGCCCCAGCACTGTGCCAGGCAGAGTGAGATGTGGATGGCACCGGGTCCCTTGAGGGGCAGGAAGGGCTGCAGGAACATAGGGTGACAACGGAGGGCTCTGGGATCTGCAGTCTCCACTTTCATCTTACACAGATAGCCTTGACCACTGGACAGAGCCCCAGGGGAGGGGAGGAGGGAGCTCAGGAAATGAAAGCAAAAATAAGCTCTGAACAAAATGGAAAGAAAAGACGCGTGCTAGCTGCTCTGCGCTGGAGGATGCTTGTTCCCGTGGCAACGGGTGTGGGGTTCAGGGAGCTGCTTGGTGAGGTGGGGTTGGCACTGATACCCAGCAGACCCTTATCTGCGCCCAGCAGTGGGCTTTGCGAGAAACCAGCTGCATCCCAGCAGTCAGACCATAGTGCTTGCTGAAGGTGTCCGTACCCTCCTGGGGTTGCAGACCATTCAGGGGCAGCCCATGTGTGCAGACTTACACAAAGAGCTTAAAAGCAGAGAAGACATAATAATAACGCCACCCTGCCTCTTTAACTGCACAGACCAAGTTTGTCACTGCTCAGAGCCGTGTAAGTAGGATTTCTTGTTTACAGGATGACATGGAAATCATTTGATTTGTACATTTTATTGGTTTCTTTTGTTGTTGTTTTGCTAAATCTGGGCCGGAATCCCTCCACCATCAAACTGTCAGAGCTGCTCTGATGATCTTTGCAAACTTGGAGTTGAAGGAAGGGACAGCAGCATGCCAAGAAAATAATACTCGAGACTCTTTTTGAAAAGGAAATAGAATGATTATTCTGAGTTTGAAAATAGATTAGGCTCATTGTAAAACTTCCAAACCATATCATGGGGATTAGCGGGGGTGGTTACCAATAACGACAGCAGCCACCAATGCCCCCCAATTTAAATATAGACACAGGACCAGCTCTGTGCTGTAACTGCAGTAATGTGCTGCTTATGAGAAACTGGATACCACATGTTGACCACGGTTCAAATCCCTAGGACGGTCCGCCTGAGACATACAGGGCATGCATGGGAGTGCCAGGACCCGATAGGCTGGAGGACTGGAGGAGGGGGATCAGGGCCCTGTGGAGGCTGTCCCCCCCCCCTTTAATTTGTGTGCACACATTCTCTACCAAGAATAAAGAAAATAAAAGTCAAGATGCAAAGCTTCTCAAATTTGTTTTATGTATACAGATTTAACTTGAGAAAACAACTAAAAAATACTGTTTTGTAATGTTTTTCACTTACGACATTGTTAATAATCAATGAATTACATTTTAGCCAACATATAGCTCAAAGATTTTTTCCCCTGAAGGCCACGATCCAGCATTCTTTTCAACCACCGCACGTGTTCTTTCTCCTCATTTTTTTACCATTGAGTGCGTCCCGAATGGAACATTCCTTTTCACAGTATAGTCACTCCTTTTCATGTTCCCTGTTCACATTATAGTCATAATGACTTTCAGGATGACATAATCATCCATCATGTTGACGAACCACAGTGATTTAAATTATTTCCCACTCGGGGACATTCAGGTAGCTTCTAGTTTGGTTACGTGTTTTAGTAACAACAAAAACCGCTGTGATGGACATCTTTGTGCCTAGAACTGTTTGTTTGCATCTGATTCTTTTCTTAGAATAAATATCCCCAGGCCAAGTGGGTAACACAGTGGTACATATAACTGGACCCACACAGGAAGAGTCCTGGGTTCAAGTCTTGGGACCGCCCTGAGCATACTGGCCATGTACGAGCCTGTGACCCAGGCCAGCTGGGACTGGGGGTGGGTCATGGCTGAGGACCCTGCTGGGGGCTCTCTCTCTCTCCGAAGAAGAAATAGGTAAATAATTTTTTTAAAAAATGATCAATTTCCAGAGTGAAGACACAGGGATTTCCTTATTACTCTGACTATAGAGGCTCAACGTGCTCTCGGCAGAGACGGAACTTGTTTTACACATCACGTGAGCGTCCATTCACTTGGCTCGCTGATGTGCTTACCCCTGCCCCAGCCCGCTGAGTCCCAAACCAGCTAGGTGTTCACATGTGGCAAACGCCGATATCGCCAATACTGACGAGTGGAGAAAACCACAGTCAGGTAGGACATTCATTTGTCAGCGTGGTGTGCAGCTGGGAAATAGCAGAGAGCCTGAAAATTCACCACCAGGGGCCAGGTTACATGCTCACTGCAGTAAAACTGAAGCAACGCAGAACGAGTCTGTTAAGCTTCGGGGAAAAAAGCTCAAAGTAAATTTGGTCCAGTTGCACTTTCATTTGGAAGTACAGGTGGTTGTTCTTGTGTGTTCAGGCCTGGGAATATTCTGGAAGGACACACCAATGCTAGCAGAAGTTATTTCCAGGGTGCGAGATTGGGGGGTGGGGGGGAAGTAGGTTAAACAAGGGCTTAGTTTTATTTTTTCTTTGGTTACTTTATCTACTCTTGCGTCATTTGGATGTCTTAAAATAAGAGTGTTTGCCTTTGTCTTTTTGTTTTTTTAAGGTATTTGCCATAGAGCACACATGCTAACCAGAAAGAGACAGAGAGACAGTGAGGAGGAAAGTAAGAAATTATGCCGCAGGGAGGATGGCCATGTCACAATCCCATCTCCTCCATTCCCCTCCTGGGATTTTGGGCACCCATGCACACATACCCGACGTAATTTGCAAGCTGCTGGGTCCAGGAGTCAAACCACAGTGAGCTGTATGGGAGTCTCGCACCTTAACCACTACGCCACCCGCTGGTCCTGCTTGTATCATTTTTAAAAGATTTCTTGATGTTTCCATAGAAGAGAGGCTAGCCTCATCGTCTGGCCTTCAGAGTTTTCCAAGAGGCTGATGCGATATAAGAGATCCAGGCAGGCTCCTTGGATGTGGCAGTGAGAGGCCACTGCCTTCAGGACTTACTGTCCCACAGAAAATAAAACCAGTGGGTGTGTGGAGTGTGGGCATTTGGCTTGGGTTTGGATTTCTCTGTTTGTCTTCTCCTTGATGAGGTCCCCATAGTCTGCTGTACAGGAGCCCCAAGACCAAAGCCATGACTCATCTTTATTTTTTCTCTTTAGGACCAACTGTCCCTGCAAGTATAGTTTTTTGGATACCAACAAGAAGTTGACACCTCCACGTGATGTCCCCACTTACCCCAAGGTAAGAAGAAACTCAGTAAGTTTTTAAAACCTGTTTCATTGGATCTCCAGTCTCTGAACAACACGTACTTGCATGGGGAAGTTCTGCTATTTTGTCACAGAAGCTTCTCGGTTATGAGAGAAGCCAGGGCCTTGGGAGGGAAACAGTGCTGTGGGAATTGAGTTGGGATTTGGCTAGATTCCACGTGGCTGACTTCACAGTTCAAGTCCTGGACCCAGCAGTTTGAAAAACATACCAGGTGCACATGTGTACATGCCCCAAGTCGAGAATATAGAAAGGATTGTGGTGTGGTCATCCCCTACTAGGGGTGCTTTCTCACTTTTCCTTGTCTCTGTCCCTGGTGAACACATGCACCCTAGAGCAAAAACTAAATAACAGGAAAAAAAGGAAGGCTCTCCAGGATGTTGACCACCTATGAAGGCTTTACCTCATGAGGGAAGGAGGGAGAAAAATCCTGGCCACAGGAGAACTGAGCCCCACAGAGGCAGGTCTTCCCACTGCCCTCAGTCTGGGTGGGGGCAAAGAGCCCCTCTTCAGCCAGTAGGGCCAAAGTGGTTTCCCCACTCAATGAGAATGCACCCTGGATATTGTCCGAGCGTGGGAACTAGCACCTTTCTTCATCAGAAAATAGGACCCAAGCTCTCATAATCCTGCTCCAGGGAGAGTCAAGGCACTGCCTAGACCCAAACAAAAGGTGTCAGTCCTACGTAACAGTTTCTCTTTTTTTCATTGCCAGAAGGGGGGGAGAGAAAATACCCCCCAGTGGGGTGCAGTTATACTGCAATCACTTCTCCATTTCTTCATCCTGTCGGAATTTGGGGCACCAAATCCCCAAATGTGGTCCAAGCCACAGGGGCCAGGATTCAAGCCAAGGTCAGCCATGTGGGTCCAACTCCCTTAAGTGCGAGGCTATAGGGCCGGCCCAACACTTCCTTTTAACAAACAAACAGTTAGAAAGACCTAGGGCAAGAGTGTCTCGGGCCCAGCTCTGTCATTGTCTTCTGCCCTCACCCTTTATGACAGTCTAACCTAACGCTGTCTATAGCACCAGCGTCGGCCTCAGGCCCTGTCCGCCAGCGCACCGTTGGGGAGTCAGGGCCGGTCCCAGCAGGAGACACTCAGAATAGCCTCTTAGTCTGTGTTTGAGTTTATGCCAAGTGAATTTTCCCCCTGGTTTCACTTTATTATATTTTTTACTGTCAGGCTTATGGAGATTTAATTCACAGGCAGTACAGTTCACCTTTAGGTGTGGGGGCATTGTGAATTTTGACCAACGTCCAGTGTCCTGTGACCCTCTCCAGAACATTCCCCCACACCCTTCTTGCCCTGCCTCCGCAGCCACTGATGGGCTTTCCTCCCTCTGACTTCCAGAGAAATGTAGTCTGAGTCTGTCCACAGGTGTCTTTGAAAGGGCAGTCGGGAGAAAGTGCCCACCGTGCACATCTGAGGTCACAGCCTTTGTCTCGTGTGAAAGCCCGCGGTGCCCCGGTAATGCCGACCTCCTGTCCTTTCCAGTACCTGCTTTCTCCAGAGACCATAGAAGCCCTGCGGAAGCCGACCTTCGACGTCTGGCTCTGGGAGCCCAACGAGGTAAGTGAGGGGCATCCAGGACGCCAGCCTCCCGAGGGGACGCCTCAGGATTGCGGGACCCTCCTGGGGACCATCCCTTTTGTGCTTCCTAGTCTGTGCTTTCCCCGTCCTATTCTGCACAAAGGAAAACAACCTTGATTCTCCAAGAGTTTCTTTTAAGTTTATTTATTTCTTCATGAGCAAGAGAGACAGGGAGAGAAAGGCATCGTCAACCATGTCTCACACATGGTGCCCCCACAGCGCTCCCAGCCAGCTGGGATCATGGCGGTGCTCCAGCATGGACAAGTTGACCAGAGAGCCGAACCCGCAGTCCCACGTGTGGGTCCCGCCCATGTGTTCAGTGTGTTACCGCTGTGCCGCCGCTGGCCCTGCTCTCCAGGTCTCAGTTCAGATAGACACTTCATAGGCTCAGGAGTGCTCCAGGCATCACGGTGGGGGTTCCCCTAGGAGAGGAGCCGCCTCCAGGTCCTCAGATTCCTCAGGGTGCTGGTCCCCCAGGATACCTGCTGGACCTGTGGACACAGGTGCTGTGCCAACAAGGAACAGCACAAGGAGCAGAGCTCCCCTGCTTTGGGGCAGAAATCGCGAGGAGTCAGGGGCGTCAGCTGGAGCGGTCCACCGAGAGCAAGTGCTGGGCCTGGGCACGGCACAGGCAGCTATGCGGAAGCCAGATGGGGGGAATGTGGGGTTCAGGGCACTGGGAGTCATTTTTTACAGCAAGATAGTTCTTTGAAATTTCCTATTTGCTGAGAAACACAAAAATAGAGCTGCTTTGGTTTAGTCTAATCTAGTATTGGTTAAACCCCTCTATTGCCACACGCCAAGATAGAAAACATCCCCTCAGCGTGAATGCCAGGCTAGATAGTTCTGGCCCTCCTCAATCGAAGGGCTCACTGCAGCTTCTCCGTAACTCAGAAATGCAGGCGGTTCACATGAGCGAGGTCGCCTGCGCTCACTAGCCAGATGGGTAGGATAGGGCCTTGTGCCCTGGGCGTTCACAGAGCCAGGCTGCTGAGCCCGGGCGCTGGTATCTCCTATGCATACATTTCATAGCTGGGCTCTCCTGGTATAGGAGAAGCCTTGGTGGTACCGGCAGAAATGCAAAGATCTGCCCTCCATTCCCCACCTGGTTCATGCGAGAAGAGGCTGTCAGAGGGGCTGCACCTCAGCAAACATGCTCAAAACATCCAGCACCACACAAGCGATCCGCTCCCCCGCTCTGAGGTGCAGGTGGGCTGAGACAGGAGGAGCAGGAGACATTTTAAACCTGTAGCTGTGGCTGGCTAGGCACATGCTGAGTCAGAAAGAGCACTGAGCCTGGGCGGCTGAGCAGAGGGGAGCTCTGAAGAGAAGTATTAGAGCTGCTCCCTCAGCAGATGCTGGGGTTGGGCGAAGCCACTCCAGGCCAAGTATGGGTTGGTTTAGAACCTGCAGGCTCCCACTTCCAGCAGGTAGGCCAGCCCCACTCCCAGAGCAGCATCCAGGAACCACAATCCCAAAGCCACTGCAGCTTCGCCGTGCTGGAGTGGGAGCAAAGCTGGCCACCGATGGCAAAGCACCCACCTCCTGCTGTAGAGCCCTTCAAGCCCTGCACCACCTGCCGCTGACAGGAAAGGTGCCCCACGTGGCATCCCTAAGGGAAAGGCCGCCCCTGGGTCCTGATTGCAGAGTGTATGTAGGGCAGTCATCAGGGCTGGGGCGTGGGCGAGGCAGCGGCTTCCTGCAGCTGGGCTCAGCTTCCCTGTGGCATCTCCCATGCCTGTGACTTCTGCCTGACAGAACTCAAGGGCACCCCAAGGAGGCTGGTGAGGGGTTCCTGCTGCCTCCAAGAAGTATCTGTCTTACTTCTAAACCGGAGATGCCCAAAGACAGGAGCCTGGCTTACAGCAAATCTGAGAATGCCCGAAATTTTGACATATGAGTGGCAGAGATAAACAACCAAAGGGACACGCCTCAGAATTTGAACAGCCCAGCCTGCCCACGTCTGCTCTGGCCTCCCACAGGGAGCTGGGCCCTGGGGTCCTGCAGTGGTGGTGTTTCAGATTACCTGGCAGCCCAGCACAGTGCCCGACCCATCCCAAATCAGAGGACATGAGCCCACGCTGCCTTTGTTCCTCTGGTCTGTGAGGGCCTCTTCCCGGGGCTGCCCAGCAGCCAGCATGGCCTGCCTCGTTAAGCTGCAGCAGCTGCCCTCATCCCCTCCTTAGTCCTCCACTGTCACACCATCCAGCCCACTCTGACCAGGACCTGCAGCAGCACCCAGGAGCAGCCTCCTCGCTCCCCTCCCAGGGCTCAGGCTGGGGCTACAGGAGCAGATTCGTGGCTTTTGTTTCAAGGCGCCCACAGACATCACACGCGTGCCACCAGATGGTTCATCTGCCAGTCGTCTTTGCCTCTTGACAGATTTCACAGCAAACATTTCAGCTCTTCGGAGCTTGCCTGGAGCGGTGTCTGGGCTAATGGGGCAGGGGCAAGGGGCTCCTCTGGTCCTGAGGGCCAGCATCCGGGGCAGTGAGGGAACTAGCAGTTCTGGATGGTGAGATTCTGGCCAGTGACTGGGCAGCAGCTGGCCAGTGGCCTGGGAGCTGATCCTCCTGTTCTCACACTGAGGCCCCAGATGCCTGCCACTCTGTAAGGGGCACCTTCGAGGGCCACCATCTCCAAAACCCTGCACCCTGCACACTGCCTGGTCTGTGAATGCACTGTCCCCTCAAAAGACGAGCATGTGGTCGGCGTGCTATAAGCATAACCATATGTGACAGCCCAGGCTCCCCTGTGTGGCCTGCGAGTGGACAGTTCCTAGTTTTCCAAATACATGGTTTGCAAGTCCCCAGGTCTCTGTTCCCTTCACAGCCATCTCATAGATGCTTCCGTTATAGGATTGGGTTTACAGAAACTCGCCTTCCTTGCAGGATTTCCAGTTCTCACAAATTACATAATAAGTGAAAGTAGATTTTGATGACCTCCTCTGTCTTAGTCTGCTAGTGCTGCCACGGAGTGTCACTGTTGTTAGGCCCAAAGTCTGTGACAACAGTTCTCTCAGTCAGAGACTGCAAGCCCAGGGTCAAGGTGCGGCAGGGCTGATTCCTCCTGAGCCTCTCCTGGGCCTGCCGATGGTATCTCCTCCCTGTGTGCCTACGTTGTCATTGCCACCCCTCTGTACACGTCTGTGTCCTCATCTCCTCTTCTCATAGTCTCGTCAGTCATGCTGGATTGGGCCCGTGTGACCTCATTTTACCCTCATCATACCTCTAAAGGCTCTCTCTCCAAATACAGTGGCATTCGGGTTTCAGCATAGGATGCCAGGGCACACATCCCAGCCATAGCATGCCCCTTTGGGAAGAGAAGGTCACACAGTGAGCAGAGGCCAACAGAAGCATGCAGGCTCCCGGAGGGCTAGCCCACTGCCCTGTGCAGGTGTCGAGGCGGCTGTAGATAGGACAGGGACAGGCAGGTGTGTGGCCCTGGGCAGAGGTGCCCTGATTGGGTGTTGCCCATGTGCCCCAGGCGTGTCTACGTGTGCCCATTGTGCAAATGACTGTTCTCTACCCATAGCCTGCCTGTCCCTCAAAGCAAAGTTCCCTTTTGCTAAAATCTCCTTGTTTCAAGTCATTTCATCTTTTTCTTCATAGCTGAGTGAGCTCCAGGGCTCTGGGCTGTATTTAAATAGATCTCAACAATGACAATAAATCCTCTGGGATGTGAAACGAAATCTATTTCAACTTGAACAGGATCTCATAGAAGACAGAGTTCAGTGACACCAGTAGAGGAGGAGCAGCCCACACCAGGCAGAGGCTCCCCTTCCAGAAGCTACAATTAGACTTTTAACGTGTCTGGTCCCAGCAGGGCCCCAGAGGAGCATAGTGCAGTTCTGTGTGTTTTGGATGAAGTCATCAAAGCTTCTTCAGTCCCCTTGGGCAAGAAAAGGGCCTTCTCTGTGTGATGCTCAGGTGCCCTAGAACCTTAACCTGTGTAGTGAGCTGCTGAGATGGATTTTCACGTGTAGAAATAGTCATTTCAGTGTGGTCATGTGGCAAAAGGGGCACCTCCTTATCCGGTGCCTGTTCTTTCTTATACTCAATTCTTGTCAATTCTGAACCTGCTCCTCCAGTCCCACCTGCCCTCTCAACCTCCTACACCTGTCTGGGTGACCGTGAAGGGCCAGCGGCAGGCCTCTCTCCCAGCTGGTTGCTAGTCGAGGCTTGCCTTGGGTTGTTTCCAGGACAGTGGAGGGAAGCCTAGGGGAGGTGGCCGCTCGCCTGCTGCTGACCTGCTCCCATGCCCACAGATGCTGAGCTGCCTGGAGCACATGTACCATGACCTCGGCCTGGTCAGGGACTTCAGCATCAACCCCATCACGCTCAAGAGGTGGCTGGTAAGTGTCGGGCCCGCGCTGGTCCTTCTGAGCACGTAGTCTCTGTGAGTTGTGCCTGGATGGGTTGTCTGGGCACTTCCGATGGCTCTGGGCTTCCTGCAAGGGGCGGGGGAGGGGGGGCATTTTCATGGAAGTTCAAGGACATTTGGCCCATTTCTGTTCTTCTACCAGAACATTCTTTTCCCTTAGACATTTGCTCTAGTGAGAGAGAAAACGATAGGAATCAGGAAGGGCCAGTGCGGGCCTGTGTTCTACAGCAGTGGCACATGGCAGAGAGGCTGTGAGTATGCAAGATGCCTGAGTGTGCATTCAGCAGACCTTTTCTTTCCTTTTTTGGGAAAGATTTTTTGCTATAGGGCACATGCACTCATGGGAGAGACAGAGAGAGACAGAAAGCAAGAAATCACCACCCCCATCCCCCTGGGGGGTGGCCACGCTACAGTCCCTTCTCCATTCTCCTGGGATCTTGGGCACGCACGCACCCGTACCTGGTGTGAGTTAGAAGCCACCGGGTCCAGGACTCAACCACAGTTAGCCATTGGGTGTCCAGCAATGTAACCACTATGCCATCTGCTGGTTCCCAGTAGACCTTTTCTTAAAAAGTTAAACTATTGTTCGGAACCAAATATTAAAGCCTACCAAAGATTTCATGGTCATTTAAGACCCAGAGCTCCCTTCTTCTCCCCTGCACCCAACCCCATGCTCCAGTGTGACTCTCAGACACCTCTGGGACACCCTAGTTTGTGATTCCAGGGTGAAAGCCATGGTGGAACCTCTCTCCAGACTGCCCCAGGGGCTGTGTTGGGCCCTGCATATTCTCGTGCTCTGGAGCACAACTGCGGTAAATGCAGGGCTACTGTTGGGCTCTGACTGGGATGAGAGCATCTGAGACAGCAGTCTTCTGGGCACTGGGAGGAGAGGCAGGCAGCCTGGGTGCAGGCGGCTGAGACCCTGGACCTCTCCGCAGCTCTGCGTGCATGACAACTACAGGAACAACCCTTTCCACAACTTCCGGCACTGCTTCTGCGTGACCCAGATGATGTACAGCATGGTGTGGCTCTGCGGTCTCCAGGTGGGTCCCACCCCGCTGGCCACCCAGGCCTCACTTCTGGGGGGAGGTCCTCCCAGGGATGGCAGATCTGTCCCATCCAGCTTCTCCCCTTCCAAGGAAATACCCCCATCGTCGGCACCCCAGTGGGTGAGGCAGCGCCTACAGCTAAATGAGCAAGGGCACCCACCTCCTCACCTCTCCCAGGCGGCAGGTCCTCTCCCACCAGGCCAGGAGGCCGTGATGGCTTCTTTCTACCCATATCACTCGTCCTGCCCAATTCTGATCCACTCCCCTCGCCAAGTCCCAACCACAGAATGAACAGGGCAAAAACTTTGAATCTGCTTTCCAACCCAGGAGAAGTTTTCCCAAATGGACATCTTGATCCTCATGACAGCAGCCATCTGCCACGATCTGGATCATCCAGGATACAACAACACGTACGTGCCTGCTTTTCCCTCAACGCCACTGTTTGTAAAGACGCCCTGACTGGGGGAAGCCTGTCCGCTCAACCCTAGAGCCATCCCAGCTGGCACTGTCCTCAAAGTCCTCCCCAGCCCCCAGCTCTCCCCGGAGGATGCAGTTCCCAGCTTTTGGCCTCCCCTCCGCAGGAACATTCTGGGTGGGCAAACCCTGAGGGGTTGCCACACCCCCTTGCAATCCT